AGCTGCCATGCGAGCGCAGCCACTGGAGCCTTCGTTGGAGCTCCCTATGGGGCCACGAAGCGTGTGACGGGTGTGCCGAAATCGTGCAGTGGCGCCATGCGAGCGCAGCCATTGGGGCCTTCGGTGGAGCTCCCCATGGGGTCACGAAGCGTGTGAGGGCTGTGCCGATATGGGCGTGGTGGCGCCATGCGAGAGCAGCTAAATGAGTGGTTGGGACGCTGACGATGATGACGAAAGGAGGGGGGAGGGGGAGGAGGAGAGGAGGAAGACGAGCAAAACGAGGACCCAACACCACAGGATGGTTGGGAACAACGATCCTGGCGAAGGACCCAACCATATGCAGTTGTGAGTACCGTCGTTTCGGGTATCGCCGTCAAGGGATCTCCTCATGGGTCCATGAATCATGCCAAAGGTGTGCCGATGTTGGGCGGGGCCGCCATTTGGGTGCTGCTTCTGGTGCTAGGCGAAAAGCATTACGGGGCCGCGAAACGTGTGAGGGGTACGCCGCAATGGGGCGGGGCCGCCACTGGGGCCTTCGGTGGAGTTCCCTATGAGGCCACAAAACACCGCATTGGGCGCAGGAACCGCATGCGAGTTCCGCCTCTGGGACCTTCGGTGGAGCTCCCTATGTGGCCACGAAACGCTGCACTGGGCGCGTGAACCGCATGCGAGTTCCGCCACTGGGACCTTCGGTGGAGCTCCCTATGGGGCCACGAAGCGTTGTATTGGGCGGAGTGCAGAGGCACGGATAGGGAGGAGGGAGAAAAGGGAGGAGGCGGGAGAACGCGGCGCGCTGTCTCTTCAAAACGAGGACCCAACACCACAGGATGGTTGGGAACAAATTGAGGTAGTGGGCGCGGGGAAAGTGAGCAGTCCGCCGGAATGCACCCGCCGTCAAGCCAGGGGCCCATCTCCAAGTTCAGGAACGGGTCAAGCGGCTCCCGAGAAACACCGAGGGGGAGTGGCACATCGTGGTCTACGCCCTACTTTGCCAAGGATCATGTGCGCAAGATGAGAGGCAAGGCAACAAGCGTGAACAATGATGTCGTGCGCCCCCTCCGATACAGTCATGCAGCCCAAATTGGCATGAAACAATTTGCGGCTGGAGGTTTCCACTTGCGGCTGGAGGGTCCCACCTGGCGCAGCTGCAATATGTTGAGTAACGGTCGGATCGCCTCCGACCTGGGAGCCTTGACGGGCATGTCGAGAGAACATGGGAAGCTGGCCTGGGCCACCGTTGCCAGCAGCAGCACAAAGATCCTTTTCTGCGCATTATGTTGGTCAAGTAGGTCCCTTTCCGTCGGCGTGACCGCCCTCAAAACCCTGGGCGTCGCTTATGGGCGACCAGGCCTTCTCCAAAGTACCTCCTCCCAGGAGGCACCAAAGCAGGCCTTCGGCCTCGAACGATGTTTCTAATTTCTGTCACCGCAGGAGCGGAACCGACGTTAAACGTGTCAGTGGCCATGATGGTCCAGAGCTTGGTAGGTGTCCGCCTGTGCCTTTTGGACACCCTAGAGTTCCAATGGCCATGACTCTGCTATCCGGCAGCTGCGTCCGCACTTGTTCATGGTTGATGAAATGATCCAGCAGCCCTCAGGGGGCTAGATTAGAGATGGCCTATTGCAAGGCACGTCGGAGAGCCTGAGAACCGAGGAGATCGAGGACATTATTTGGCAGTGGTGTCGTGACTCGCTTGGCGCCAGAGTGAGTAACATGCAGCATGTGAACGCGTGAGAGGCACAACGGACGATATGTTTGCAGACACTTGAGAATAAATATTGGTGGGCAAATCGCGATTCGCATGATAGGTGCCGATGCCAGCACGCTCTCCGAACTGTGTGTCATGCAGCACTATCGTCATTGAACTGGTAACATGACTTCCAAGATGTTTGTGGTAAAGCTTGCTGCTGTAGGCGGCGAGGCTAATGCTCCGATTGGCTTCCGCGTTGGTGATGCCACCTGTGCTTTTGGGGAGCGCTAACAACAGCTTGCATGGCAAGCTCTTTGCAGAGCATCGGATGCAGCAACCTGGTTGCGTGCCCAGGGGCAGCTTCAAGCATCTCAGCAACGAGGCCTGAGGCTCACTCGTGGATGAACATTCCAACCGTGGCCAGAGAGGATGCATTGCTGAGAGATCTTTGCGCCAGGGGGGATGTCATGACTCCTCAGCTGTGTATGTCGCTGACTTGCTCTTGATTGCTGGTAACCGCCATTTCTGTCTCTCCGAAGAGTTCCTGGATTTCTGCGGTATTTACTAAAGAGTGGTATGATTTCCTCCCTAGGGCCCGAGACGAAGCGGAAACGTGGCAGCCTGGTTAGGCATGTTCGCCCTCCGGCATGGGGAACTGCGCATGTGTGTCCTTTCTTGATGGGGCATCTCGGCATCAATGGGCACGATGACTTTCCCCCCTGTCTTCCAGGCATTTGGTCATGTCTTGTTCGGGACAGATCTTCCGAACCCGTCTCAATCGCGGCGAGCCAGTTCCCATGGGCAAGCTTCGTTTCATATGGCCCAATACGCCAGCACATGAAATCAGCTGCTGCATCTTTGGAACTGCACTGTCCTGAGCGCAGTTTTGCACTAAGATCAAGTGCTCCGCCAAGTCCGCGTGGCATACCCGATGCGCATACGAACATCGGTTCCCAACTAACGCACGCCATCTCGGAAGCCTCCCTCGTTTTATAGAGTGTATTGAGGATTGATGTTCAGGTCCTACCTAAGCGTAGGCAGTCTCACGAATGTACGGCTTCCTGGCACGAACAGTCTCCATCTTGAAATCCCTATTGGCCGCCGTCTACATCAGCTGCTAGACCTGATGGGTATGTGGGTTGAGTCCTAAATCCCACGACGCTGGGAGTTCGACAGCTCAGTCCTGATCAAGTTTAATGTCACCTCTGCTGTCGGCACACTCCTCGGGGTCAAGGCGCAAACCATCTTGGGGGGGGGGGGAGGGACTGCTTCCTGCCATGCTATCTTACACTGCACAGGGAATGTTGAATATCTGTCCTGCGAGCTTCAAGATCGCGCATCACCTCAGCCTCGACCGAGCAATATCCGCGAAGCTGGAGGCGCGTAGGACACGAACCCGAATCAGGAGAAGCGGCGGGGGCCTTACATCGCTGAGTTGGCAGCAAGTGGCATTCCCCCTCCCCCTTCCCCTCCCCTTCCCCCTTCCCCTCCCCTTCCCCCTCCCCCTCCTTCTCCTCCTCCTCCTCCTCCTCCTCCTCCTCCTCCTCCTCCTCCTCCTCCTCCTCCTCCTCCTCCTCCTCCTCCTCCTCCTCCCACATTAAAAACAATTTCGTAGAAGGAAAAGAGGGGTCAGCGTGCTGGTCAGGCCCCGCCTGCTCCAGCCGCCCCCCCGCTGGCTCTGCTGAAGAGGCCTGATCGTTCCGCGTAGTGTGTTCGATACCTGGGGGGGGGACTCGGTCATTGTTCCCAGTGCTGAGGCCTCGGCCACTTTTCAGCTAGGCGATTCCATGGCTGTCCAATGTGACTATCTCGGTGTGCCGAAGAATGAACTGCTATTTTCTCGCGGCCAGGTGGCGCACCACCTCTAACACTCGTCCACCTCTGCCTGCTCCATCCCATGCTCCTGTCTCCCCCTTCCCCTTCCGCTCGCCAGCATCGTCGGGGTCGCGATTCCGCCGGGCCGATCCGCCCCCTCTCGTCAGGGCGCCGGAGCTTCGCCATGGCAGAGAGGAGGAAGGAGGAGGGGGGAGGAGGAGGGAGGAGGGAAGTGGAGTACGTAAGACGTTGAAGTGATTTCAGGCGGAGGGATGAGGATGAGGAGCACGACAAGGAGGGGGGTTAGACGAGGAGGAGGGCAAGAAGAAAGGATGGGGAGGTGGAGGCCGATGAGGAGAAAGGAGGGAGGAGGAGGAACAGGGAGGATGGTGGAGGAGGAGGGGTCAAGGGGTCACGGAATGAAAGGGAGGAACAGGATGAATGGGGGGTGTTGTTAGTGGTTCAAAAGTCGTCAGTTGTTTTGTGCGGGAAGTTGGGGCGCTTTTGGGATTGAGAGGGCAGAGCAGGGACGGACATCTGATAGTTGGTTTCTTTGGGGTGATCTTGCAGGTGTTTGTCGGCAATTCCTGCGGGTGTTCGGGGACGCCTGGAGAAGAGCAAGTGATGGAAAAGGGATCAGAGAGAAAAAGCATGGGACACACGGGTCGGCAGTAACAGGAAGAAGCATTGATGAAAAGGGAGGAGAGGAGTAGGACCAGGTAAACCTGGAGGAGGAGGAGAAGGATGAGGTTGATGAGGAAGGATTTAGCAGGGACGATGGAGGAGAGAGAAGGAGAAGAAGGGATGAGGGAGCAGGGGGGAGGGAGGAAGAGGAGGAGGAGGAGGAGTAGCAGGAGGAGTTGGAAGGATGGAAGAGGAAAGCGGGAGGAGGGAGAGGGAGCAAGCATGGAGGAGGAGGAGGAGGAGGAGGAGGAGGAGGAGGAGAAGGAGGAGGAGGATTGGGAGGGAAGAGCGAGGGGTGAGGAAGGATGAGGTAGCAGGTTGAGGATACTGAAAAAGCCAGGCGGATGGAAGATGGGCCAGGAGGAAGCGTGAGGGACGAGGAGGAGGAGGAGGAGGACGGGGGACGGGAGATGAATGAGGGAGGCGGGAAGAAAAGGAAGTTAGAGAAGGAGGCTGGAGGAGGAGGACAATAAGGATGGAGGACGAGGAGAGGAGCGGGGAGCCAGGATGGAACAGGGAGCAGGGAGGCAGGAGGATGAGGAGACGAAGAAGGACGACAATGATGAGGATCTGCAGGAGGGAGGGAGGACGGAAGGACGAGAGGCACGAAGGGGAGGGTGGGGGGGGGGGGGGGGGGCGAGAAGGGGGGAGAGAGATGGGGGAGGAGGGAGAAGCGCGAGGCGGGACAGGAGGCGGAGGAGCAGGAGGATGCAGGAGGGAGGAACAGCGATCCTTGTCCGCCCCTTCCCCCGTCCCTTGTCCTCCCCTTTCCGCGGTCCTTGGGGCCCTGGGCTCGCCAGCCGCCGCAGAGGCCGCAGCGCCAAATGCGGCATCTGCGTGAACCGATCGGAGGCGAGGGCCGCCGCCTCTCTCTGGGGAGCCGAGAGCTGCCCTCTCCCCCCTCTCCGCCTCCTCCACCGTCTCCACCTCCGCCGCCTCCTGCTCCTCCGCCTCCGCCTCATCCTCCTCCTCCTCCTCCTCCTCTCCTCCTCCTCCTCCTGTTCCCGCTCCTTCTCCTCCTCCTCCTCCTCCTCCTCTCCTCCTCCTCCTTCTCCTCCTCCTCCTCCTCCTCCTCCTCCTCCTCCTCCCCTCCGCTCCTTAGCTGGCATGTTACGCCCGCGTTGAAACGCAGCACGTGCCGTGATCAAATCATCCGTGTTAGCACGCTACGTGTTGGCTCGGCACGCATCGGTCCACGTTTTACAGAACATATCGGGCCAGACGTCGGTTTCCAGTCTACGTGTTGAACTTCGTTTCAGCACGCTACGTGTTGCGTATTGGGGCAGCTAGGTTCCGTTCTCTCCCTCATCCAGCTTGCCAGGTCCCTCCTCCTCCCTGCCCTGCGCGTGCCTCCCCCCCTTCACATGGGATACTCTCAAAATAGGGGCCCAAGAGGGGGAACCCGCATTGCATTTCGAGCCCTTTCTCCTAAGATGACCCCGGTGACGGCCAGCAGGCCCCCAGAAGGGCCCCACGAGATCTCGAAGATGTGCCCAAGGAGGTTTCCAAGATGTTTCCACGAGGCCTGCAAGACGCATCCAAAGAGACCCCAAGTTTGAAGAGGCACTTTGCCAACGATACAGGCAAGCCGGCGGGATTGACAGAGGCCACTAGACCCAATCCGATGCCCCCTTGACTTATTCAGGGGTTCTTGGCGTGCAGAGTTTACAACACTTCCAGGGCTAGCTAAACAGTGTTTTGGCGACTTCGTGGAACGTATTCGTTTTGATTTCAGTTAGCAGCAAAGGCATTACGAAGACGAAACGAAATCAGCACGAACACGCAAAACACTGTTTAGCTCGAGCCCTGAACACTTCATGGCCAGCCCTTCACAATACGGCCCGTCTCGCCGAGGGTGCACTCCATTGGTTTTGCCGTCCAAGATGGGTCCAAGAGAACTCTCAGGGAGGGCCCTGGTCGCCAGACTACCCGAGATTTTACCGAAACGACCCGAGAAGCCCGCAGGACGCTCCTGGAGAGCTTCAAGAGGCACACAAGCACCCACCATAACTCTTACGAAACAAACATATTTCTCTTGGACTCCAAACTTCGCTCCATAATCAAGAGTCTGAACTGGACCCTGGGTGTTCTCTTGGAGCTTCTTTCTTCGTGGAATGTTCGCATATCTGGGCGTGGACACGCCTGGAGCGCAGTCGATTTCTTTAGCGTAAGATTATCTTTCCTCTCAGCTGGGGTGCAGGTCCAGGTTATGATTGTTACATCGTTACATGTTTGTCGCATTCCCGTCTTTCTGTCTTCCGACAGCCTAAGACGGCCCATGAGGCGTCAGCATCGCGCCAAGACGGCCCCCAAAGGCCCCTACGAGGGCCCCAGGAGAGCCCAGCAGGGGCCCAAGACGGCCATCCAGGGCCCCAGTGCAGTCAAGAGACGCCCCCCCCCCAAGGCGGCCTCCGAAGGCGTTGCACGGCCCACGAGGGACAAGAGAGAGCCGCACTGTGGCCCAGGCGGGCCCCAGGAGGCCCCGCCCAGACGGCAAGGAAGGAGCCCCAAGCCGGCCACAGAGGGCCCGTCCGTGTGTACTCCTTAGGCGATGCTTAAGAAAACCTATTTTTTTGGCCAGAGTCTTGATTATTCTTAATGTTTCAATGTAAATCCTAAGATTTGAGTGGAAACTTTGGGGTTTTTACTCAAGTTCTGAGACTATGAATTTCTTAACCCATGATTCCTTAAGCATTTCGCAGGGTGTACTCAGTCTTCCCCCAGTGGTCCCCGGAGCGTCTGGGGGTGCACGCAGTCCACCAGAGTGGCCGCGCTTTCGCTTGACATTTTACCGTGCAGGCGTTTCCAAAAGGCAGGGGGTGGCAGTGATTCGCCGCAGGCGTCTGCGGTGAGCGTCCATGCCGACTTGCAGCAGGTGGTACATGAGCGAGAGGGCTCGACGATGCGATGCGGTGGCAGATGCGTCAACCGTGGTGGCGGATGGGTGACGCAGGGCGAAGCCTCATTTCCACAGTCCGATCGATGTCCCCGTTGAGCCCAATGTTCCATACGCGCACCAGCATCCAGTTTGAGCTGTCTACATTAACTCGTGTTCCTCCGCCTCCTCCTGCTCCTCCCTCTTTCTATGCGAAGATTCCTCCCCGTTGTCATCCTCGCACTTCTGTCCTGCGCGTGTGCATCCGCCCCAGCGCTGACAATCCCTGGCCAATATAGTCATAGCATTGATCTGCATATCCAGGGCTTCGTGGATCCACCTTCACCTGGGCCCCGGATATGAAGTAGGACCGTGTGCATAGATGTATGTATGTGTAGGGTCGCGGCCTCTACCACTGGCAACACATGCTCCACCATGGAGTCGTTTTGAAGCCTGTGGGGCCATACTCGGGCCATCTTGAGCAATATCAGGGTTATCTTGAGACCTCTGTTGTCCATCTGAAGGGCATCGGGCCATCTTGGAGCCTTGTTGAGCGGGACATCCAGGGTGGTGTACGGCCACCTTTGGCAGTATGGGGGTCTCAACGTGTGTTTCCGTCTCGATGGCGTCTTGGGGCCCCTTGGCAAACTTGGAGGCAGCATGGGGCAAGATTCGGCCGTCTTTGGCCCTTGAGTCATGAGGCAGGCTTGGTCTATTGTGTTCTCCTGGCCGCGCGGTGGCATCCTTATTGGAAACCTGGGACAACCCAGAGCGCCCAGACATCTGAGGGTTTCCCCAAAGCATTTTTTGTTTGCGCCCCGCGAGTTGACAGCACAATAGAGACAGGACTGGAGAGATGCCAGACAACCACAAAGTATCGTATACCAGACGAGGCGACACCAGTCCAACATGATCCTTGACATCCTTCCATCACATGGCGGGCTACCAAGTGAAAGTTAGCACGGGGAGGTGCTCAACCCTATGAAGTTGCCTGTAGCGTGCTGCGCCCACCTCTATTCGCACGCTACGCGCCGCGGGACAGTGCGGCCCCATGTCTGAAAGAGCGCTCTCTGCCGCCTTCCCCCAAGGACGACAACGACGACGACGACGAGTGGGATGACGACGTCGACGACGACGACGACGACGCATGACGCACGACGCGCGACGCACGACGCACGTCGACGAGGCCGACGCCGATGACGAGGCACGACGCACGACGCACGACGCACGACGCACGACACACGACGACGACGTACGACGCTGACGCCGACGCCGATCAGATAAGGATTGCGCCCAGGAGTCTTCAGACCCTTGACGTTTGCTCATCAAGTGAGCCACGATTGGAGTTCCACGTTCTTTTGGATTTCGCCCTGACTCGTCACAGTCCAGACGATCAAACAGGGAACAGCCTGGGTCCCGAAGGAGCTCGATGCTCCTCAGGTCCTTTCAAGGCTGTGTCTCCAGCGCTCCTCGTCCACGCGCCCCCAATTCAGCACCGGACACATGTCGGCATACACCTCACACGTTCCGTGCCCTTTAGTAGGGAGCCCCATTTACGATTTCAGTGGGTGCCGACGTATGGCGGCTCGTCCATTTCGGCATATTCTCGACATTTTGTCTGCTAAGCAGGGAGCTCCACATACGGTATCAGTAGGCGCGACGTATGGCGGCAGGCTCTTTTGGAGCCCAATGGGGTTCCGTTCTTTTCTTGGCGTTCTTGATGGCAGCAGCCTGACCGTGTCAATTACCCTTCGTCATGGGCTGCGGCGTGCAGATTCCTCCCGCAGACGGGGTGCCCGCGGCCGCTACCCTGCTCGCTTGCCGCCCTGCGAGAGCTCCTTCCGGGGCCCCTGCCCCGGGACCCCGGCTCCTCCAGGACGATGGACTCTCATCTCGACCGCTTTCGTTTCGTCCTCTTTCGATTCGTCATCCTTCGCTGCGCTCGGACGAATGAGAGCAGACGAATCGAAGCGGACGAAACGAAATTCTGACGAAATGAAGCGGAATCCTCTGGGACCCCTTTTTTTCCCAGTCCTCCATTTCCTCGGGGGACCCCACGACTAACCCGAGCGAGTGCCAGGTTTGCTTGAGGGCGCGCCAGCACGCCGCGCGTCCGCGGCCAGCCCGTGCTCTGCCACCGACGCGCCAGTGGAGTCGCAGGGGCGCGCTCCTCACCCGAGTCCAGATCTCCTCCCAAGGCCGGGGAGTGAGGGGGGGCAGGCCATCTCAGGAGGCAACCGGGCTTCTCAGGAGCCCCCGCGCCTCCCGAGGAGTTCTCCAAGCCTTCTCCGCAGACAGAGACGGCTTCTCAGGAGGCCAGAGCGTCTTCGAGAAGCCCCGCCGCCGTCTGAGAAGGCCTGCCCGCTCTCACTGCTCGCCTGGGCTCGCCGCCGAGGGCCGATCCCAGTACATCCGGCGTCTCGTTTTTTTCGAAACACGGGCCTTTGACCTCTCTACAGTCGGACCAAGGTATCAGATCGAGGTCGGTTCGGGGAGGGTACCAAGATGTTCTTCGTGTCTGTTGGATGTCCTTGGCATCCTGGGAGAGGGTACCCTCGAATGCTCTTCAGTTTGGCCAGCGGAGGGTCGCATGTTCTTGGAGGATGTTTTTCTGTCCTAGGTCCGACCCTACCACTTCCCCTGGACCGAGTTGTCATCCCCCACGTAATCTTTGACGGCCCCGAGGCCCGGTAGACGGGCCCCGGGCGGCCGAAGACGATGAGAAGTTTCCGCCTCGTTGTTTGTCCAGGCGCCAGCTGCCTGGGCCTGCGGCGCCGAGCTCGACTGCACGTGAGAGTCACCCTTCGCCACAGTGACCTTGCCCACTGGGGGCCCCCCATCGCCGAGCGCGATGCCGTGCAGTGGCGTCTTGGGCGCCCAGGGTGGGCCCTCCTGCGGCCCCGCGAAGGCCGCGCAGCCGAGGCCACGCTTTGGCCCGGGGCCGCTGCAGCCGACGAGCGAGCGAGCGCGCGCGCGCGCAGGTCTCGTGGAACCACCTCGAGGTGCGGCCGCTGCCGGGCCTGGGCGCGCTGGGCTGCCGGCCGTCGCTGCGCGTGCGCGACGTGTCGGCGAACGGCGCGGGCCTGCAGGCCGCGCGCGCGCGGGCGGCCCCAGAGCTCCGCCCGCGGGCGGCCGCGGAGCTCCGCACTCCCGGTCCGAGGCGGGGGTCTATCCACGCCACCGCCTGGACGAGCAATCTTCGGGGACCTCGGCAGGCGGTGGATACGGACGTGCACACACACACACACAACAAAAAAAACACACACACACACACATTCCTTCTACCTATGAAATTACAAGGAATAACCTGGCATGTCACCGTCACCGCCCCCCCCCCCCCCCCCCAGGCACCCGCACACGAACCCCGGACAGACCCTCTCCCCAGCGCCTCGAAGAGGCCTCAAGAAGGCCCAAGAGGCCTCCAAGACGGCCCCAGGAGGCTCCCAAGATCGTTCAAGAGGGCCCCGAGACGCACAAAGATCGCTCCACGACGCCCAAGCAAGATAGTCCCAATGCGGCCCCAGACGCCTCCAAGACGCCCCAAGAGGCGTCCAGCAGGCTCTCCTAGAGGGCCCCAAGAGGCAAAACGGCTGGTTTTTCAAGGGTTTTTGAAGGTTGCTTTGGGCCTCGCCTTTTCGGCTTCCCAACGCTCCAAGACAGCCCAAGAGGCCCCCAAGATCGCCCCAAGACCGCCCAAGAGGCTCCCGAAGCAGCCCCAAGACGGCCCAAACGGGCCCGAAGACAGCCCACGAGGTCTCCAAGACGGCCCGAGAGGGCCCAAAGACGGCTCCAGGAGAGAGCCCAGACGGGGGATCCGAACCGATTCTTCGGGCGTTGGCCCCAAGAGGCCCCCAGGAGGCGCCAAGAAAGGCCTCGGAGGTCACCAAGAGGCCCCCAGAGGCCCCCACGAGACTCCCAAGAGGCCCCCGAGCGGTCCCCAATAGCCCCCCAAACGGCGCCCAGCAGGCACCGAATTGGGCCCCAAGAGGCTTCCGAAATGCTTCCAGGAGGCCCCCAAGAGACCTGCCCCCAAGATCCTCCAAGAGAGCCACGAGACGCGCAAATATCGCTCCACGACGCCCAAGATAGTCCCGATACGGCCCAAGGCGCCTCCAAGACGCCCCAAGAGGCGTCCAAGAGGCCTCCCTAGAGGGTCCCAAGAGCCAAACATTGTTGTTGTTTGTTCGTAGGTCTAGAAGGTTTCTATGGGTCTCGCCTTTTCGGCTTCCCGACGCTCCAAGACAGCCCAAGAAGCCCCCAAGATCGCCCTAAGACCGCCCAAGAGGGAGGGTGCGCCGCTGAATCTCCCCAGGGGGGGGGACCCCCCCCCTTTCCCCGATCCGTCGTTCGGAACCTCCCCCTCCCCTTTCCCGATCCGTCGTCGGGGAACCCCCCTCCCTCCCCCCTTTTCCCGATCCGTCGTCGGGGACCCCCCCCCCTTCGGCCGCCAAATTCCAAAACCCCCCCCAGCCTCCTTTCGCCACGGCGCCCCCGGGCTCTGGACCCCGACCCGTGCAACCCTTAACGCTAATCCTCACCCTTACCGTAAGCCTCAACCCCAACCCCGAACCCTGAGCCTTGCCCCACAGTACTCACTACTCATTACGCATTATTCACTACCCACTTCTCAATACTCGCTACTCACTCCTCACTGCTCACTACTCACGATTCACTTCTCACTACGAACTACCCACTACTCACTGCCCACTACTCACCACTTCCTACTCCCTACTCACTGTTCAGTACTCACTATCCACCATCAATACTCACTACTCACTAAACACAACTAACTACCCACCACTGACTAATCGCAAATCACTACTCACTACACACTAACCACTGTTCACTACTCACTACTCACACTTCACTACTCACTACTCACTGCCCACAACTCACTACTCACTATCCACTACTCGCTATTTCCTACTCACTACGCAGTACTCACTAATCACTACTCGCTACTCCCTGCACCCTACTCGCTACCCAATACGCACCACTCAGCACCCACAAATCACGAAGGACTGCGCTCCCACTACTCCTTACTCCCATCTCACTACCCAGTACTCAATACGCACTACTCACTATACACGACTCAGTGCCCACTACTCACTAAGCACTACTCACTACCCACTGCACACTATCCACTATTCACTACTGAGTACTTACAGCCCACTACTCACTAGCCACTGCCCACGACTCACTACTCACTATCCGCCGCTCGCTACTCGCTACACCCTGTTCCCTACACAGTACTCACTGTTCACTACTCTGTACTCGCTACTCCCTACTCCCTACCCACTAGTCACAAGTTGCTACGCTACTCACTACCCAGTAATCAGTACTTACCGCTACTCACTGCCCACGACGCACTACTCACTACGCACGAGTCACTACTCACTACTCATTACGCAAGATTCACTACCCACTACGCACTATTCACTACCCACTGCTCCCTACTCACAAGTCGCTACTCACTACTCATCACGACTCACTATTCACTACTCGCTACGCCCTACGCACTACCCATTGCCGAATACTCAGCACCCACCTCTCATTTCTCACTACTCACTTCTCACTACTCGCTACTCCATACTCGCTACTCACTACGGACTACTCCTTCCGCACTACTCACTACTCACAGTGCCCTATTCACGACTCACTATTCACTACCCGCTACTCACTACCCACTCCTCTCACTCACTACCCACGTTTCACTTCTCACCCTTCACTACTCGCTACTATCTACTCACTACTCGCTACTCACTACTGACAACTCATTACTCACTACTCACAGTGCCTTTTTCACGACTCACTATTCACTACTCGCTACTCCCTGCGCACTACCCACTGCTCACTACCCACCCCCCATTACCCACGATTCACCACTCACTGCGCATTGCGCACTATTCACTTCTCACTTTTCACTCCCCACTACTTGCTACGATCTGCTCGCTACTCATTATTCACTCCACCCTACTCACGACTATCTGCTCACTACTCACTACTCACTATCCCGAGGCCAGATCCCCCCTCCCTTTGCGGGAGAGGCCCTCTCCCCGGCCCCTTGTTCGGCGCAAAGGGGGGGAGGGGGGGGGTCGAACCCCTTCCCGCCTCCCCTTTCCAGCGCCAAGGGGGGGAGGGGGGGGTCGAAAATATCCCCCCTTTGAAGGAGGGGGGGGGGAGGGGTTCGGACCCCCCCCTCCCTTTTCAATTACAGGGTGATCCAGTGGCGCGCTTTCCCGAAGAGGCACCCAAGACAGCACCAAGACGGCCCACGCGGGCACCAAGACAGCCCAAGAGGCTTCCAAAACTGCCCAAAAGGGCACCTAGACGGCTCTAAGAGAGAGCCCAGACGGGGGATCCGAACGGACTTTTCGAGTCCTCGGCCCCACCACGGCCCCAGGAGGCCCAAGAAATGCCTTGGAGGTCACCAAGAGGCCCCCAGAGGCCCCCACGAGACTCCCAAGAGGCCCCCGAGCGGTCCCCAATAGCCCCCCAAACGGCGCCCAGCAGGCACCGAACTGGGCCCCAAGAGGCTTCCGAAATCTTCCCAGGAGGCCCCCAAGAGACCTGCCACGCGCTCCGAAAGAACTGTCCAGATGCTCCCATGAGGAGCCCCGGACGCCTCCAGGACAGCTTCAAGCGCGCTCCAAGGCCTCCAAAGATGGCTCCAAAACGACCCCGGATGGTCAGTTGTCGTCGCCGAGTTCGTTCGTCGTCGTTGTCGTCGTCGTCGTCGTCGTCGTCGTTGTCGTCATCGTCGTCGTCGTCCGAAAACGGCCCTAGAGGGCTCCAGGACAGCCCAAGAGGGCGCCTAGATGATCAAAAAAGGGCCCCACGCGGATCCGCAATTAGGCCTACAGAGGCCAACTTCATGAACTTCCCGCTGTTTTAGCTTCATCACCTCTCCTGTCACGAGTCTCTGAAGAGATCCCCAAGAAAGTCCAAGAAGGTTCAGATGTCACTCTCGACACCAGCTCTTCGAAAATCTCCTCCCCTCCCCTCCCTCCTCCTCCTCCTGCTCCGCCTCCTCATGCTCCTCTTCCTCTTCCTGCTCATCCCCCTCCTCGTTCTCCTCCTGCTCATTTTCATCGTCGACATCGTAGTCGTAGTCGCCGTTGTCGCGACGGAAAGCACCTATTCTCGCGTAGGCTGGAAAATTTGTGGGGCTTCTTTCTCCCAGGGAATAATCCAGTAGTGCGGGCTACCTTACACGCAAGAGGATGTGTGAGCATCTTCTCATGAGGATCACGGTAGGAATCAGTGGTTGCGGTTGTAGTCGTGATTGCAATCGTGGTCGAAACCGTCATTGTAATCGTGTTGTAGTGGTGATTGTAATCGTAGTCGCAGTCGCGAGTGTAGTCGTAATCGTAGTCGTGGTTGTAGCTGTAATCGTAGTCGTAGTAGTCGTCGTTTCGTGGTCGTAGTCGTAATCGTCGTCGTCGTCGCCGCGCGGCGGGTTCCGCGGAGAAAAACTATTTTCCGTCATTGGTGGGGCCCCGGTCGGTCAATGAGGGCGTCGGAATTATGAGTCATGTCCGCTGTTTGGGAGGGGCCGGACGACCTTTCCCAATTAAGAGAGGCTGCCCCGAAGACTCTGACTCATCTGTCCAGGCTTCCCTCCTTGGGGGGAGAGGCCCCCTGCTTAGGCTTTCCAGAGCTTCCTTGCCTGCAGCGGTGGGTCGCTTGCAGGCCTTCCCGAAAAGATGTATTTCAGCGCCGATGCCCCGAACCACCACACAGTTCGCACCACCAGAGCCCGCGCAGGCACCCAATACAATGGGTCCCGTGGATCTGGCGGGGCAGGCCTGGGCACCCCTGAGCCAGCCATTGGGCCCGCTGGAGTGCCCTCGAGGGCGAAGAGAGACACCGAGCGCACTGTATGCCGCTTCCCGCGGTGGCCTGGACGGTGTGGGAAGAGGCGAGGCGGGCGCCAGCGGCAGCCTACCCGCAGCCTGTCCTGAACGTCGGGCAGCGACGAGATCTGCTGGCCGCGCCAAGGTCCCGAGACCTTGTGGTGACCTGGTGAGGTCTTTGAAGCTCTGAGGCCATCGCACCGTCTGTCGCCTTCTGGTCTGCGACGGTCTGCCACCTTCTGGTCTGTGACCCTCAGATCAGCAGAGGCAGCCGCCTGGTTGGCCTGCGAGGGGTGCGGGCGATCACCTCAGCTGGGCTCTCGTGCACAAGGGAAGCTTGCTGGCTTGGCCTGCATAGCCTCTGCTGGAGGAGTGGCACCCACGATCGAGGCCAGGCGGGCTTCGGAAGCTGGCCTACGGTTGCCTCGGACTGCCGTTACCATTGCCGCAATTCAGAGCAGTTCGACAACTTCCTATCGTGTACGGTGCGTCGCTCGCATATCTGGGACAGTGTGGACCGAGCCAGTGTCGCGTGATAAACTGTTCATCCCCTCGCGCGCTCGTGTGTCGCCTCGCTGTCCTGCGTCCCTTCCTCGCCAAGTGTCGCATCAATCCATACACTGGGTGCTGCGTGCGTCGACTGTGCTGGCAGGTTTCTCGCGAGCGCCGAGAGACTAGGCGAACGTGCGTCCCGCAAAGCTTGGGCTACCTCCGCGCCTGCGTGGCGGCACCCCTATCCGAGGCAGAGGAAGGAGGTGACGATGGTGGGGATGATTGACTGAAGAAGAAACATCGGCATACACATGAACTTTCGGGGATCCGCGCGGATTTCTTGGATCGGCGCCTGGGACCCCCTGGCGGCACCTCCAGCGCCGCCCCTGACGCGCTCCGCACGCCAGGGAGGGGGGGGTGCAGCGCCGATCCAAGACATCCGCGTGGACTTCCGAAAGTTTCTGTTTATGGGGATTTCCCTTTCGCCAGGTGAATAAGCGGGGGGAGGAGGGCCTCCTGGGACTTGGAGTTTCGGATGGCCTTGTACCTGGGTGTCTCTTAAGAGGTCTCTTGAGGCCTGTTTGCGGCCTCTTGGGAGGGGGCTCTGGCGGGCTTCTTGGGGGCCTCTTGGGGCGCTTGTTGGGCCTCCTGGGGGCTTCCTGTCTCTTGACGGTCTCGGAGGTCATCGTGGGTCGGAGGTATGGAAATTATATTCGGGTTCCCCATCCCCCTCCTCCTCCTCCTCCTCCTCCTCCTCCTCCTTCACACTTGGGGCCAGTCCGGAGGCTGGGGGCTGAGGAGCCGGCCTGGGGCGATCTTGAAGGATGGTTGGGCCGTGATAGACATAATCTTGTTCGATGGTGTTGGCATCTTGCGGTGGATCAAGGGCCTCCAAGACGGACCAATGGGTGCCCAAGCGAGCTAAAATATTGAGGCCATGGTGTGAGCATGACATCCCAACCACGCTCCCGAGGAGCCTGAAAAAGACGCACGAGCCGCTCCGCTAGCGCCCAGGAACTCCTAGATGTTTTGTCCCCAGGCCCTTCGAACAGCATGCACAATGTTCAGCACACAGAGAGCGAAGCGACATGAGGGCACTCTACTCAATTGCCTACGGCATGGTGATATCCACCGCCTGGGAACTGGTGCCCCATGACCGCATCAGGCAGCGGATGTAGATATTCTCGAGCCTTGGAACATCATACCTGCTGCCTTCTGGGGCCCTCGGGCATCGTTTGCTCAGGCGGAGGATGTATGTAGATTCTTGGCTTCGGAGACTTAAACCACGACGCCAGGAGCGCCAAGACCTCAATGCAGACTCTGCACGGGACGCCTCGGCCGATCAGCAAATGCATTTGAGCCCGACGCGGGCGCTCTCTCCCAAAGCACAGAGCCCAGCTGCGACCGGCGGCGGCGTCAGTGTCGCTCCGTCGGAGGCCGGGACCGGCCGCCGCGACTTGTCCAGGCCTGCGCAGGCCCGTGGGGAGGCGGGCGCGGCCCGCGAGCACTCTCCCCTCCCGTGCCGCGCCAGGCCAGGCGGCCGGGCGCATCGGACGATGGGCAGGCCGCCGAG